TTCTCAGACTTCTGGAGGATCCAGAGCGAGGTAAGCATTCGATTCAATTGCTAACATTTGCTTATTCTAACAATTAATCGAGTAAAAATTTGTAGATTCTGTAGATTTTTCATTAACCACTTAAGCATATTTTATACACGGTTAGAAATACTTAATAAAAAAGCAAAAATTGTAATTTTGTATACACGTTTTATTGTCTAAAATGCATTTGCATAGCATTCCTTTTGTGAACGCTTGATCATTTGAAGCAAAGGATTCATCTGCAGCTACAAAATACTTCAACATGTGTGCAATATCACACTTGTATATATATTTTGTATATGGTTATTTTTTTTTCTGCATGCACCAATATTTAACACTTAGGTTGGAGTAGCTGTTGGCTTATAAGCAATTTCCCTTTGGGGATCAATAAAGTATTTTCTATTTTACTCTATTTTATGTGGAAAGGCTCATCCCTTTCTCCATTAATATTAATAATTAATTACATAATAATTGGACATAAACAGGTGCTTTGTAAGAGTTTTTATATGCCTTTTTGTTAGAATTTGAACCAGGTAAAGCTAAAACTAGGCCAGTTGAGTTCAGGGTAGAACATATTTATAGACAAAGGCTTTTTTTTATTTTTTTTTTTTATCTTAAATGCAAAATGCAGTGACGTACACAGACATTCTGGGGCTCAAGTGGAAAAAAAAGGCACCTTGTGCATCACACTGAACCACCAGCTTCTTTAGGAATATGAGGTTTTTTTAAAGGCACTACTTTAACAATATATGCATTTACCTATTTCTGATCAGTCATGTGCTCTCTCGAGTCACACACAATACACTGAAAATAATAAAAAATTTCAGAAGGGCACCTTTTTTCCAGAGGAAAAGGAACTGGTGCTGAAGCACCTCCTAGTGTCTATTTTGGAGTATACACAGGGTGTGTGTTGCTCTTCCAGGTATCATTGTGGACGGTCACCTGATGGGGGCTCCACCAAAGCCTGGAGCAGAAGGCCGTTCCCGAACGTACTTCGACCGGCTCACCATCTCCTTACCGGCTGGCAGTTCGGCTGACATCATGATCACCTTGACACTGGATGGGGTGGTAGTGGATGGGGAAGGAAGGGAGATCCTCCCCACCAATCAGCAGGGATCTGTGACCAGGCAGGGCATGACTGTAACCGTGGACAACCATCAGAGTTGCTGGATCGAGCTGGCGAAAGGAGTGCGCTTCCTGGTGCTGTTCCATCACTACAAACACCCCAACCACCTGCAGATGGCTCACCTGGGGTTTTACGTCACAGATGGAAGGGGGCTGTCAAGGTCGACACAAGGCCTTCTGGGTAAGCAGGAGATCTTAAAATCTTACCTTTTGTCAGGTATGTTGAGTTGCAGAGTCTTTGGTTTAAGTAACGTTATTGCTTCTTGGTGAAAAATAGCTGGTGAGGAACACATCCAGGGTTAAGTTTTAACTTAAAGAACATATTTTAAAAAATCATTAACCAATCAATTTTCACTACAAAACCACAAAATCTTACCAAGTATTTTTGGTCAGTACTTGTTGCACTGACAGATTACTTAGAACATGAGAAAAATGTCTTATGAATGAAATTAGGGCCAGGTTAAAGGAAAAAAGAGAAATATGAGGATAAAGTCATATTACCACCTGAATAAAGTCATAATAACATGAGAATAAAGTCATAATATTTAGACTTTATTCAGACTTTATGCAGATTATCTGCATAAAGTTGCAGTAGTAATACAAGAATAAAGTTGTAGTATTACCAGAACAAAGTCATAATAATGAGAATAAAGTTGTAATAATATGAGAATAACATCATAATTTTACAAGAATAAAATTGTAGTATTACCAGACTAAAGTCATAATGTTATGACCTTATTGTGAGAATTTTACTTATTTATTTTATTTTTCTTTGCCTGGCCCTAATACTCCACTGCAAAAACCTGCGTGAGTTAAGAAAATGAAAACGTAACATGATGAAGAAGCTGATGGAGACTAAATTAACAAGGACTTTTTTATTTGCTTGTCTTTTGTCAACCAGTTTGCTAGAACTACAAATCCCAGGACATATACGCCACTGGCACAAAAACATTGAAATTATGAGCATTTGTAAGATTGTAATGGGTCTAAAAGTAACATTTATTAAAGTTATGACTTTTTAAGACTTTGAAGAAACCCTCTGTGTTTATTTCACTGTTACTTAAAACCTTAAATTATAATTTCATGGTGAGGAAATGTAGTTACAGTTAATTATTGCTCCTCTTTATCTGCCTGCAGGCCAGTTTCAGCACTCTGACATGACTGTAACCGTGACAACCGATCGTCACCCCAAAAACAAAGACAGGGTTCAAGCGAGGGGAATCCTGAGGTGGGCAGCACAGCAGATGGATGTGACTTTACAGGACAAGACGGTGAAAGACTCGGTGCAAAAGCGCCACCTGGGCAAATGCTGGGTGGTTCCCAAGGCGGAGATCGAGAGACTGCTGAGTCACTCCTATGAGAGTTACGTGGTGAACAATATGTAACCCGAGCCGAGTCCACTCCACCTGTTGCTGGCCCTCAGCACGGCTCAGGTACCAGGACCCACACAAAGGACGAAGCTGACTGGGAGTCCGCTGGATAAAAACGACAGACACAGAGGCGGTTGTGAAACAGGAAGGGCTGGGTGGCGCGGCTTGGAGGCAGAAAGGAGAAGTTAGGAAAATAATAGTTAAAATCTACAGTTACTCAAATACAGAACTGAACAGAGGCTCTTTATCTCTCCCTGGATTCACTTTGTGTCTGTAACAGAGACTCGATGTGTTTCTGGTCGCTTGGCAACAACAGATCATCTATTTATGCTGCCGCTTTGAAAGTTATTTATTGGAATGATCTTATATGTCGTTCTTTATAATGGCACAATAGGTCTATTGCAGATAGAAAAAAACAAAGTACATTTCTGATTAAAAAAAGTTTCTAGTTGATAATGAGTTTGAAAAGTTGTAAATTTGCTAGAAAAAACTAATTTTTTAGATTAATCAGATGTTTTTGTGAGAAAAGAAACGAGTTTCAAGTCAAAAAATGTGCTAAAAAAGTCTGAAATTTTCTACAAAACAAAAGGAAATTTCTGAGTTTGTAAAGTTGGAAATTTGCTAGAAGTCCCGAAATTTTGAGGAAAAAAAGTTTTAAGTCAAAAATATGCTAGAAAAAACTCAGAAATTTCCACTTTTGAAACTCAGAAAAATTCCAGGTCAAAAAGTTTTTGATTTTTTAAATTCTGATCTTTTCCTGTTTTTTATACATCAAGAATATTTCTGAGATTAATCTCAAATTTTGTAGTTTTTTTTTTCTAGCAATTTTTCCCTTTTTCCAAAATAAATTCCCTTTTTTGGAAAATATTTTTGAGTTTAATCTTAAAATTTTCGTGGTTTTTTGTCAGAAATTTACTATTTTTTTTATCCTACAGTGGTCCTAATTCGCTGCAGTATTCCTTTCTGTCTAAATCATATGTAATTTAAAAAAAAGCATCACTCCTGTTCAGTCCAAGTGTATAAGGTTTTGTATGTATGTGAAATTATATTATTCCCAGAAAAAGAAATCCAAGGCACTTTTTCCAGGTTTGCCATGTGCTTTTTATTTTTCTATCATTTCATTTCATAGTTTAATTGGTTTTATTTGTTACACAAGACATTAGGTATTGTTCACATACTAGTGATCAAACAAGGACAGTAAGTTTTCTACTACTCAGCCTGAACTATTTCTTTTGTCAATTTTCGAGGGATGTTGTTGATAGTGGTTTTCAAAGGCCATACTGGATGAAAATAAAAACAGCAACACCACACAAGGCTTCTGTTCTCAGTAAATAAAAAAGGAGAGGATGGTGAGGAGAGAGAGGGAACAACAGGTAAACAATATTCCAGTTTTCTTCAGGTGACGTTTCACACATGAACGGTGCACAGTGTGAATTCAAGGCTGAGGTTGATTTTTCCTTCCACCAAAACATGTCAGAGGAACGCTAACGACGTAACATTAAATCATGGAATGATCACGTAGTAAGGTAAACATAACATATGACACAGCAAATAAACAAATTAGAGAAACAAAATTTTAAAATGAGTCAGCATTTGACGTCAGCAAGAATTTAAATAAATAGATTGTAAGGATAAGACACAGACATGAGATTAGTTTGGAGTTGGTAGAGGGTTGGTGGTGGCGGTAAAATGAGATGAAGCCGCTTTTCTAGCAAATGACAGCAGCAGCCTGTCTGTTTCCTCTTAGTTGTATGATAAAACCCTTAAACTGGTATGAAACAAAACAATTTCCCTTCAGCTCTGCACTCTCTGCTGATGTGAACTTTAATCGTCGCCAATAACAAAAAAGTCCAATTTTGGCACAAGACTGACCTGCAAACAACGTTCTGAGTTAAAACAAAGCAGTCGATTTTTCTGATGGTGTCCGTGCGTCGGAGACGGACCGGACGTTAAGGCTAAATGAAAGCAACTCGGTTCGTTCAGAATGGGTCGCACGTGTGACTGCGTCTACGCTACAAAGTCCTCCTTCCACCTCATATCTAGAAAGGGAACAACGTCAAACACAAGGGGTCAAACAACCGAGACAAGACGGGGTGGTTCCACCGAGAGCTGAAATTTCAGTCTTCATCTTCAAAACCCCGCAAAGAAACCCAACAACATTCCCAACATTCAGTCTTTCCTTCATGCCACATTCCAATCTATTCCTATTTCACTTCTTCGAAGACCATTCCCCCAAAAAAGATTCACAAACCAACGTCTGGTCTTTGTTTTCCACGAATTCCCTTTTTTTTTAAGTTCGACTTGAAGACCACAGTTTCTACCACTGCTCTGTAAACTTCATAACTTCAGCCAGTGAAATGTGCACCCATTATATAGAAATAAACTCTTTAATAATTTAACAAGTTAGAAAGTAAACTATTCAGTTTCAAAACTGTTGTTACATAACTCAGACAAAGAAAAGTGTTTTTTTTAATTTTTTTTTTTATGCAGAGGGGTTGGAGGGCGACAGGTATAGCCACTGATTAACTTGCCTGCTTGCACTGAGAACACAACAGCGTTGCAAAAGTGAGCACTAACAGTTGACAGAACAGCCCATTTATATGCCTGTTTGATCACATTTAAGTTTTCGCCAAAAAAAGGAGCGGCGTCTGTTTGAAGTCACGCAGGTAAAAGACGGGGAGTGAAAGCAGGGTTGATGGGAGCGGTCCGGTCCTTAAACCGCTGAGTTGATCCAGTCTATGTACAATAACTACTGTGTAAAAGATGCATGCATGCCAACTGGAGGTGACCCTGCGAGAGGATTTTACGTTAAGCTCAGACCTGCCGAACAGCGAAAGCCTGATATGAGAATGACGGACAAAAACGGACTGAAATGTTCTGAAAATCTGCAACAAGTCAAAAACTCACCCCTAACGATGAAGCTAAAGTTATGGTGATACTGTATATTTCACAACTGAAAGAAAGACCTACTCAACCCTGCTTTTCTGTGTCAGAGGAAGGGAGTGTTTGAAAAGCATGTATGTGTTTTTTTTTTGTGAGCGAATTTCATTGAGAGTGGAGAGAGGGAGGAAGAGAAAAGAAAAGGAGGCAGACGCCGTCTCTCGGCTCCTTTTCCGCCTTCGCTTCTTTTTTCTGCTCCCAGAAACCCCTCAGACCGCCCTCACTGCTCGTCCTCCCCAAACACGTCGTTCTGTTTGCGCTTCATGTTCTCAAAGTCAAAGTCGGTCCCGGTCATGCGCTTGTAGATGTCCTTGATGTCGTTGCAAGTGGTCTCGAAGTGAGTCGTGGCATCGTAGGACCTCGAGGCGAAAACCTGGAAGAAAACGGTGAGAATCGATGACAATTTATGTATCATTTTATCTCTGATTTTCAAAAATGGTTGTGAATTTTTTTTTTTTTTTTTACAAATTTATGACAGCATTTCTTCTAAATTTCAAATAAAAATATTGTACTTTTGAGGATTTTAAGGTAGAAAGTGACAAAGCAGCAAAATACAGTGCTTTACCTCATAATACAAAAAAAATATGTTTCTACAAAGTAGTCATTGCTAGAGTTGGGCAGTAACTGGTTGTATTTACTTCAGTTGGGTTGCTAGGTAACGGCCTGGGTTTTACTGGGGTTGCTAGGTAACGGGCAGTGCCCACTGTGGGGGCCTCAGAAACTGCATAGAAAGAATTTAATATTTATATGTACTAAAAAAATTAATAAATGAGTCCTATGAAAGAAAACATGATGGTTAAAAAGAAAATCACATTGCCCAATTACACATTTATATATATACGACACTACCTGATATTTTACAAAACCATGCTTTATTTGTTCACATTTAGACCTGCATAAAGAGTGTTTGTAGACACACTAACACATCAAAAACATTAAGAAACGATGCTTAAGCAGCTTAAGCTAATGAACTGGTGCTAACGCAGCACTAGCTTAGCACTAAGACTGAGGCAGCAGATGTTTGGAGCTGAAAGCAGTTTTGAAAAAATGCAGGTGTCTAAGAAGCAGCTTTGTTTTGCATTTTTACTTTCACTTTTGAAATAATTTGCATGATAAAATATTAGAAAAAATATTTTTTCTAATTTTTTCACTGCTAGCTGAGCACACTCCTCAGCTAGCAGTGGAAATACATTATGCAGTTGCAGAAGTCTGCAATGCAAAATATCTGATCCCTGGAAGTTTAAAAGTGACCTATTGTGCTTCATTGAAGAGGTCTGCGTGATGTACAAAACATGTTCATTCAATCTTTTGTTTCACAAAATAATTTTTTGACAATGAGATGCACAACTATGCAATCATAGATCTTTGAAAAGCGTTAGTAGCTAGGTAACGGGATGGGTTCTGCTGAGGTTGCTAGGTAACGGACAGTGCTTGCTGATTTGTGACGTTACATTCCAAAGGTTTTTGAAACGGATCATTTTCCAGACACCAAAAAACATTAACTTTTAGAAGCCGCAGAAACCCAAATGGAAGTACAAAAATGTGCAAAATGTGAAATTTACATGATACATCCAATTTAACAATGTGAATTCAAAGAGAATATTCACCAGGACATGAATGTAATGTAATAGTTTGAAGCTAAGCACATGAATCTTGAAAGATTTCACAACAAAGATCTTTTGTTTTATTAGCATATTAACCAAAAACTACACATAAGAGGGAAATAATCTTACCTGGCTCTCAGTGCCGTCGTCTGTGGGCTCATAAAGGTCACTAATAGCCACAAACCTGAGGAAAAAGAAACAGTAAATACTATATTTTTGCTAATTATCAAAACATTTCCTACAGATGCTGGGTTGTTAAAGCATAAAAGCACGAAGTGTCGACAGACGGCACGGACTTTTGATCGATGGGCTCCAGGAGCTCCAAGGCCGGTTCGATCTCAGCCTCGGGTTCGCTGGTCTCCACTGTGGTGCTGACAATGGCTATGTACTTCCCCTGGGCCGCCACGTTGTGAGCGTAAGAGATCATGCAGACGTAGATGTCTGGTCAATAAAAACAAAAAAGTCAATCAGAATCCCTTCAGACCTGGTTTAGGTCATTTGTCCACTTAAACATTCAGACTTTTTTAACAAAGGCGCCTCCATTTTGGCTGATTACATGGAGTATAGCTTGAAATAAGTTTTATCACATTTTGTGTCAATTATTACATAATGCGGTTTTACTGATGTTTAAATAAATTTTAAAACCTTACATAATGCGACATTACAGATTTTTAACTGTATTTTTAAGATGACAGAAAAGAATCTACCTCTGGTAAATATGTGCCGTTTAATCAAACGTAATCAGATCCTGCAGTTGTAATGCAGTAATGCTCACCAGAGTTGCGGTTGACCTGATTCTGAGGGATGATGATCTGGCAGGAGTTGGCGTCGTTGGTGTTCTTGATGGGGTGGCTCAGGATGCAGATGACCCGGATCACCTGACCCGCCTTACGGACACGGTCCGGGATGTAGCTGGGGTCACAGATGAGCTGCTTGCACCGAGCCACCTGCAGACAGCAGGAGAGAAATGCATACAGCACATTTAAAGACACTTATTGTTATTACATAAATAATAACATACCCCCGCTGTCTTACCTCGCCTTCTGACTTCACTCCAATCACTTTGCCACCCTCCATTACGATGTCATCTACGGGCTTGTTCAGCATGTAGGTTCCTCCGTAGATTGCGCTCAGCCTAACAGACGAATTAAATCAAATTAAATGGAGGGTTTTTTTTTTCACCTTTACTGTTTTTTACAGACATAAATTCAAACAATTAATTCTTATGTTACTGCAGAAGCATAATTTCACACATCCTTCAATCTGGGTACATTAATTCAGAGGGAAAAAATTAAGTTAACTGTTTTCAACAAACTTATATACCACTGGTTTTCTATAGGATTGAAAAGGACTAAGCTGCTCAGATATGAAATCTGATTCTTTTTTTAGGTAGCCAATTCTCTGGTTACCTAGAAAGTTAAAGAAACTATTTTCAGTATTTTCAGTAAGAACAAAGTTTTCAGAACTGCTGAATTAGAAAAAAACTGTCCCATTGTATCAAATATCCTCTGCTGTATCTAACAATGGATCTTGTGTACTTTCCGCACATTTATTTTTTTCTAGAGCATTTGTATTTCAATCTCTGTACTCCCACCAGCCCTGTTTAATCTGCTTCTTTCAAACTCCAGTCCGTTTGCCTGAAAACTTTGGTCTCGGTTCAGTTGGCGCAGTTTGAATGTGTTTGTAAACACAAAAGCAGGAAGTGGACAGCAGCGCACGGCATTCTGGGTAAATACAACAAAAACAAACATGCAAGTCTATCGCTAGCGGGAGAAATCACTTAGTCTTTTTACCAGCGACAAAAGAGAAATCCTCCAACCAGTAAAATCGTTACTCCAGTTTTGTTGACATTTTGTGAAGGAGGAAGTTGTGTTCATTTTCTTTTTCTGAGGTTTTCACGTTGTTTCCTTCAGTAATTCTTGGTGCAGCGCCACCACTGGCGAGGAGGGGAACAGTAATTGTGCAACTGGTGATATGTTAAAAATCACTTCTTTACATAGAAATGTTTCTTTCCCAAATAAATGTACTCAAACTAAAGGCTTGATTTTAAGGGTGAACTTATGCAATAAAAGAGGAACAAGCTTTTTTCTCCTTTGTACAGAAAGTTTGAATAAACAATGAGAAATAATTAAAAAACCTGGCAAATCCCTGCGGCAGCTCCCCCAGACCGTACAGCGGGTAGAGGTAGGGGCTCTTTCCATAACGTGCCAGAGATTCGCTGTACAGTTTGATACGATTGATCGTCTCCAAACAGGGAACATCAAGATAGCTGGATCCAGATACAAAACAATCAAGTAAATCTTTACATTAAATTCATGAAATATTTGTAATTTTTTTCAAATTTCTTTTTTCCCACTCTTACTCATCTGTCCGGTAGAGGGCCAGGGCGTGGCCAGTGAAGTCGATGACGTCCTGGCCCAGGTCAAACTTCTTGTAGACGTCCCTCATGGTGGTGGTTTTAGGGTCAACCCCCTCAAAGGTCTTGGGGTCGTTCTCGTCAAAATTGGCCACAAAGACCAAAAACTTCCGAAACCTTCTCTTCTCGAACATTCCCATCAGATCTAGATGTTAAAATAAGACGATTCATCTTAAAATGTACCAAGAAGCTGCTACAAACGAGAGCAGCTCTTTGTGAATTTGTATCCGAGGAGTTTTGTGGGTCTTACTGGAAGCCAGTGCCTCTGTCTCGGTTGACGGCACCTTGTAGATTTTTCCTCCTTTGTAGACGAAGCTTCCCTCCACCACTTTAAAGTCCAGGTACCGAGTCACTTCTGTGTATAGCAGCATCTTCACAAGCTGACCTAAAATACACACACTCGTTCTGTGAATCTTTCACTGCAAAAACACAAAATTTTACGAAAGTATTTTTGGCTTAATTTCAACTGCAAATATTTCAGTACACTTGAAATATTTTTTCAGCAATAATTCCTTAATATTTATTAAAAAGTGTTACTTCTACTGGTAGATTATTTCACTTGAAATATGAGAAAAATATCTTGTTTTAAGTCAAATAATTTTCTATTAGTACTTTTTTAAAATAAATTTTTAAGGAATTATTTAGTCAAATCTAATTCCAATATCTTCCTGAAATGTTACTTTTGACCTACTTATCACTTATTTCAAGTGCATTAAAAAACTAGACTAAAAATACTTGGTAATATTTTATTACCATCTCATTTTATCTTACGTTTGTGATATTTAAGTTTCTACATTGACTTTGAAACAGGAAGCCTCACCGTATTTTAATGAGACTTTAAGCAGAACAGCCAACACAAAACACCACATGATTTTGAAACAGGAAGTAGGAGAAGAATGGTTTTCAAATGGATCAAAGAGCTGAAACTGTGACATGAACAGGCCTGTCGCAATAAGCAATAAATCAATTAATCACATGATAAATTAAAAGAAGATCAATAATTTCCATTAGCATGATTTATTGTTTTTGTCTTTCTACCAAAACCTGGATGAAAAAAGTCTTCAGTCTGGTGCTTTGGTCTCAACTAACCCATTTTTTGAAGGGTGATTTTGTTTACAGACACTTCATAACTAATTGTTGTTTGAGTTGTTTTCTTTATTTACTTTCCATATTGAAAATGTTTTTCAGTTCCAGTGTTAAGTGTTCATTAAAATTTAAAATTTATTGATGTTTGAGATTCTATTCTTGCATTATTGTGCCATTACTATTATATTACATGAAAATAGCCTCAAAATAACAACATTATTGTTTATTTTAATAACTTCTGGGACAATTTATTGTCCAGGAAACCTTATTAATGTGACAGGCCTGCATTCATGATCCATCTTTCATTACAGTTACAGTTGGAACTATTTTTGGGGGTCTTTACCAACTTTAAACATATTTTCACAATAACTCGGTGTCAGGAAAATTGGATGGAGAACATCTGTGCACATCAAATTTCACATTCGTAATTGGATTTCAGTCTGGACTTTGACTGGACCGTTCAAATATATGAACACTTAACCATTACTGTGCTTCTTTCTGTTGGAAATCCCAATAAGAAGATAAAGTGTGTGGCTGTGACGTGACAAAAAGCGGAAAAGTTTAATGCAGTTTATTTAAGCTGATACTGACCATTAGCCATGAGGAACTTGGGGATGAGATCAACGTTCCAGTCCCTTCCTCTGCCCATCGACTCCGGTGGGCTATCAGGGAGAGTAAAGCGCTTGTAAAGCTGCAGGACATGAAAGAGAAAAAGCAAATTAAATCAACTCTTATGAATTAACAAAAATGTGATAAACTAATTCTTTAAATAGGATTTGTTGTCCATCGTACCTCTTCCAGCGGTGTAATGGAAGAGCTTTCCCCACCGTAGTAAGGGTTCCTGTCCATGTGCAGAACCTTCTTCCCATTCACAGACATGATCCCAGACAGAATGCATTCCTGCATGAAACATTTAAACACCCAGAAAACACTCAGAAAACAAACAACCAGAGATCAACTAACAAAAGCTAACAGTACACCACCACAACCAGAACACAACTGCTGCACTGTTACTGCAAACTTCCATAAAAAATGCATTTTGATGTTCAATATCAAAAATAAATCCTAGAATAAATTTGTCTTCAAACGTGCAAAAACAATGACGATAACCATAAAGAGTACTAATCATTTCACCCCAACATAAACGTTTCAGTCTAAATCTTTACATCCAAAAAGGAGCTGAGTGTCACAGGACGCCTCACACTAACCACAAATTATTTCAAACACAGCACAAGAAATTTCTATATTCTGTAGAGAAATGTGATCAGAGTTGATCCAAAGTATAAAATAACTTTGTAATTGTTTAGTCACCCTGCTGGCACAGGACATGTTTATAAAATGACTTGTTGAATGTATATTTAGTTATTTTATTGTTACTTTACACAATTCTACTGTGTTTCATAACCTCTGTAAAAAAATGTTTGTTGATCAATAACTAATAATCTAATCTTTAAACGTCACCCCTCTTCTCTGACTCTCCAGCATTTGTAATAATTTCAGTCGGTTCAATTGGAAAAACGGCTGCAAATGAAGTTCTGCTAGGAGCTACTTGCTAACTGGTAATAATAAATATATATAAATAAATCTTTAAAAAAATATTCGTCCATCGATCTTTTATACAAACTCAATCAAATTATTTCATATTTGATCATTTCAAACCTCAAAATGGTCAAAAAGTTGAAAATGTTACATATATACAAGCAAAATATATGTTAAGTAAATAGGGAAGTAAGTATTATTATTATTATTATTATTATTATTATTATTATTATTATTATAACTACTAAATAACTAAAAAAGTGTCACTGGCCATGGATTTGTTACAGGTAAAATATAATGGATCTTTGAATTATTTATGCTATAAATTATTTAATAAATGGGTATTTTTTTACTTAAGGTTAGAGGATTGTACATAAAATCATGAAATAAATTTTATCATTTCCAGATGCAAAATGGTCAAAAATCAAAGCAGAAACTTTTACATGGATATGTGCAAAATAAGTGAATAGAAAAATAACTTTTATTATTATCGAAAATAACTATAAGTAAATTAAAAAACAAACAATGTAACAAGATATATTGGGTCTTTGGATCATGTATGTTATAAATACCTAAGGAAAGGGATATTTTTTTACTTAAGTTTAAAGGACTTTACATAAAATAAATGAAATTATGGACAACTCTGACCGTATTAGAAAAAAAACTGTGTCTTCAGTCAGAGGCTTCTTCAAATTCACTGTAATACAGACTGCTACAGGAGAACCATCACTATCAATAAATAACTATTTGAAAATTTTGAACTAATGAGTTACAAACACATTAAATTGAATTTGAAGGTTATCATGGCTATAGAAAGTTAATATTAATATTAATAATAACTTGTTTAATTATGTTTTAGATACCGTGCTTATTAAGTGAATTAACTCTAATCACATCTTATTAAATTGTTTTTTAATATAGTTTTTATTTTCTTTATTAAACGCATTGTTATTATTATTTTAGATAATATATAAATAAATGTTAGAGAGGCGTGTGACACATTAAACCTACCTAAATATTTGCTGCTATTGCTGCAAATACAAACATGATGGATATGAAACGATCACACCTTCCTGGCCGGCGTGTTTCTGTCGCAGTGCGTGTTTAGGGAAAGTAAATCCGTGAATAAAAAGCTGTGCCATAAGGCCTGCGCCAACCCCAGGATGGAGGCCTGTCTATGCAAAGAGAACCATGACACACTGAAGGGTTACGCCTAAAAGATGCTACAGGGCGTAACACAACACTGAGCACAGTCTGCAGCCGAAATAATAAGAAAAAAATATTTTAAAAAATCACCCAGCTGACTCTGAGATCTGCGTGCTTCTTGGTGACAGACGAGGAGCTCAGTTGTAGTTTTATTTAGCGATATTTCTAATGCGTAAATCCAAACACAATTATCTGATGTCACAGCGCACAATTGCAGCTGAGGCTTTCACTCCAGAAACGATAGCAGGCCTTATCTCTGTCTCTGTGTGTGGAGGGGGGGAAATCATTTAAAAAGTTCACAAACTCTGTGTTTATTTGTCTCTACTCACTGTGAGTCCGGTGCCCAAAACGATCACATCATATTCCTCATCCATGTTGTATCACCGCCTCTCCCGTCTCGCCCTCTTTTTTTCAGCCTTGGGAAATGAAAGGGTGCTGAAGGAAATAATGCCAGTGGGTCCACAAAAAAGCTGAGAAATAAAATTCCTGTGTTTTCTCTCAGGCGTGGCTGCTTTAAAAGGCTCTTCAGCGGTGCGTGTTATTTATTAATCATTGGACATTAATGATCAATGGGGAATACAGCCCACACTGTCACCGGCGGAGACGACCAAAGATGGCCCTGTCCGTGGAGCGATAGAGAACAATGTCACTGCGCGTCGGGAAATAGTGCGCATCCTCCTTTCTCTCCCATCTTCCCATAGACGTAGCGAAGCAGAGACGATGCGTCAGCGCGTCCGCCATATTGTGAGTGGAACGTTCGCCTTGGAAAGCAACATTTACGTTTCAAATAATTTTGCTGAATTAATTTCTGTACAATATATGTTCTGTGTAGTCCAAATGTTAATTAAACAATGCTGCAAAAAATATATAAAGAATAATTAAATTGTATGTTTTTCTTATCACTTTTATTTACTGTTCAATAATTATTACATTAATTTCACATAAATGTTGCCTCATAACTTCTGATTTTAGTTGGTAACTAGTTCCATTCAGAGTTGGGTAGAAACTAGTTACATTTACTTGAGTAACATTTTTGAAAAAGTATTTTTACTATGCTGTACTTTGTTCTTTTACTTGAGTAAGTTTATTAGTATATTCTTAACTGAGTCAAATTTCTACCCAGAATGAAACTGTTTTAACAAAAAATTCACCAAACACACACCTGCAAGTTTTATTAAAGTTTCAAAAGTTTTTTATTGAAAGAAACTGGTTTGGAAATGTTTTTCTTTTGCCTGATTTTATTTTTTTGTCTTTTATATAAATCATCGTCACGTAAAATTTCCACATAAATGTATGTCCACCTCTGGTTCTGTAGTAGAATTTTTTTTTATCAAGTAATATATTATGACTTTTTAAATCTGATGTGAAATATATCACCAAATAATTTTTTTTTACCACAATTGCCCCTTTTAATAAGAAAATATGTAATATGTAAAATATGTAATATTTTTTCCATTTTTTCCTAATCTTTGCTACAACTTTTTAAGGCCCTCCTTATCCCCCAGGTAGCATGCGGCCCTCACTTTGAAAAACTCTGAATTAGATCATATACTTGTATATATAGATAATACAGATGTGAACCACCTAGTATTGTTTTGTATATAAAATGACACACCCAATATGGCGGAGACGTTGCTGTACTATCCGGATGCTTATGCGGCGTCTACCTTTCTATGCCTATGCTTCGTCCCACCTAACAACACAATGGGGCCAGAGTGAAACCCCACTTTGAGTTGACTTCTTCACACCTAAAGTTTAGTTCAACATTTCTGTTCAGATTTTACCAGTTTATCCTGGGAGCAAATCTGGTTTCTTAGTATTTGCCATCCTTCCTTCCCAGTTGTAGGTGCAGCGTTGCCTGCGTGGATGCACGCAGTGGTATCCCTCCGCCGCCACAGCTGGGTGGATGGGAGTTGGTTTTTCAGACTGAAAACACGTTGGGCTTTATAAATATAACAAAAGGCACACTATAAATATAGTTTTACTTGTATATGCAGTTACTTTCTTTGTATTATTTGTTTTCAGAGTTTTATATCGCTATGTGTGAACATGTAGGCATATAAAAGCTGTGGTGGTAAAATGTCATGATTTTACGTAGTGTCAGCACCATGGACAGCTGCCAGGTGAACCCTCACTTTTTAGTCAGCGCACTTTAAACACATTTTCAAGCGTTATTAAGAACAATAGCAGGTGTTTTATTACACATTGCAACATTAAGAGATATTTTTAACATTGAGCCAGGCGGGAAGGGAGCTAAAATGTTCAGCACTGCCATGTTGGGTAAATTAAAACCTTTCTTAAGCTTTAATTTCAACTAAAACAGCACAAAATGGTAGGGCTGCAGCCTTCCGCCGCACTGGGAGTGAGTGTTGAGCTGCTCCGGTTGAATGAAAGAAGCAGGAAGTTCTTTGGGTCCGCGCACATGACCGTCAGCTGGTCAGAGTCACGTGACGCGCAGCAGTGCGGAAGGGAGAACGAAGATGGCGGAATCCAAGAACTTCAGTAACGGATCAATAATGGCTTTTATATTCTTTTTCGCCGCCTTTTTAGCTTCGGGGAGCAGCACGGCACAAGTTCCATTTCTTATGTGGTCTACTAAAAGGTATTTAATTTTCTTTTCTTTTTCGTTTTTAAATTTACGTAGCAAGACTCCTTTGAAGTCTAGTCTTACATGCTAAAGCTAACACAAGTATCTACGTAGCCTTTTAATGTCTAGGATTTCTAAAACAACACAAAGATGGGCATTTTTCTGTCCTCTTAGTTTTTTAAAGAAACTATAAAGAGTTTATTCGACAATGCAGCTTTGGGCGTTATTAAGTATAGAGTGTTGTATTTATTTTCACAAACAAACGTCCAGCACAACTAATAATAAAACTTACATATCCACTGTAAAAATACGCACATATTTTTCTTAAAGCTGCAAATTGTGCTTTGTGTGATTCTGGGTCAAGAGGCTCAATAATCGAGCTGATTAGCTGGCGTTATTAGGAATGTTGGCAACATTTTCTAAAGAGTTCAAAGCAAACCGTTTCCTCTGAGAGAACACTAAACTAGCTTTTAGTTGATACTATGATGTTGAGTTTAGGTTTAAAATATACAATTTTGGATCATTAAAAACTTTGAAATAGTGTGACCAAAAAGTACAAAGAAGTTTACAATAAGTATTTTTTTTTTTTTAGAAATTGCCATGAAACATTCAGCTTATGACCTTTGTTGAATTATCTGTGATTTTAGTTAGTAAAATAAACGTAATTTACTTGCACATTAAAACCCCTTTATTTAGCCTGTCACTTTTTTAGAGTAGAATATATTTATATGATTAAAAAAAGTAATAAAGAATAAAATGCCTTGAAACAAAAAAGGCTTTGCAATAATGTTGCTTTTCAATATGAACATTATTGTTAAAAACTAATACTTGATTTTATTTTTGGGTGCTTATGTATCAAATCAGTGGCTTAATTTGGCATATAGGTACCTGTTATTAATGAACCAAACAAAATTAAGAAATTATACTATATATTTGTTTAAAGTATCGTCTGAATTCCTCAAAACTATAATCTGGAATAAGAAATAAAAAGGACATTTCAGGTGTTAGCTTAATCATCTCTCATGTGATTTGATCATAAATAGATGCTGCAGATAAGTAAATTAATTTATTCTTTTGTGATAGCAGACACGTCTAACAGACTAATGAAAATACTTTAATTGAAAATGTATTGACTCATGGATAAACCGGTAAACTGCTGTGACGACTGTCCTTAATATTTTGGCAACTAAGTTGAAGAATGAGCATTTAGCTTCTGTTGTTGTCATTTTAAGTTTGCCATCGTTGACTTCTCCACCGGCCGGACACATAACATCTATGGAGGAGCTGGCCGCCTACCTCACGCCTGTGTTTGGCTCTGGCTCCAACACTGTGCTCCTGTTCCTGCAGGACAAGGTCAGAGCATCGCACACACTAGTTAGCTTTTGCTAACACAAGTTAGCTGAGGCTTGTGAAAGCTGAGGCTAACATCCTTCCTCTATTAAGACAGTTTGGCATTCACTAAGCACCATTTTTATTTCTATTGCTACTTAAAGACAAATAATGGAGATAAATTGTAATAAAAAAAGCACAAATGTCATGTATAATTTATATATAATTGTCATTTTAAGCCGTCAGTTATCAAAGTGGGTATTATTGGACTTCCTGGTGTTTTGAGACATCCCATGGCACACAGAACCTTTTTGTACAAATTGACAAGCGGGTAAATTAAAACCCAGCCTCCTTCTCTGCAGTAAATGTTAAACAAAAAGCGCCAGTCTTACTGAATCAGGAGAAAAAGCAGGAGACGCTGGAACAGACTTCTCATTCTGGCGTGACTCTGAGCTTTTACTGTACTTCCCTTTGCACGGTTCCTGCTTTCATTGTTCTGGGCTTTTTGCAGTTTGGTTATTGTGTTGATTCTTACTGAACTCATTTTGATAATTTTGTTGCTTGTTTTTAACTAAATATGTTTATTTTTATGTTTAGTTAAGCAAAGATGACTTCACCCTGTTTGGTGGAGTGTTTGGAAACAAAGAGGAGAGTGCCTTTAGGAACCTTGAGGTGGGTTTATTTTGGGCACTAATTATGAGCTGGTAACTAACCTGCAAAATATTAATATTAATATTCCACTCACTTTTTTACAGGCTGCACTCCAGTCCTCTTCCTCATCAGTGAGTTTTCCTGCTCTAGAGTGGACAGGAGAGTCTGCCATCCCCACCCTGCTGCAGCAGAAACTCGGCGCTTCCCCCCTGCTGGTCGATCCAGACACTCTGTCTCACCTGAGCCTCAACACATCGACCAGCAATTTACTGATCATCAATCTGCCTTACTGTAGCGAGTGAGATTCTTTTGTTTTTATGTGAATTTCCATTTGTAATCACCTGCTGCATTCCCATTAGCCATAAAACTGCGCAAGTTCAAATTGCAAAAATAAATTCTCTTAATAGAAACTTCAGTTTGGAAAAAACTGAAATTTTTCAATAAAAAAGTTTTTTAATAGGATGAGGTGTTTTTTTTTTTTTTAGCCATATCGAATTAGATGTACTGCTAGCGGAAATGATGAAGACGACAACAGGAAGTGATAGTTAATAAAAGGTTGTCATTTGACCGTGTTGAATCCATAGCTCTTCTGTGAAATCTGACTACAATTTCCCAAAAATGCCACAATAACGTTTCTAGACGATAAACTGTTACAGAAGTTGTTGCGATAAATGACAATATTGTTGTTTTGAGGCCATTTTCAAGTAATGTTACAATAATACAAGAACACATTCTCAAAGATCAATTAGCATTAAATTCTAAATGTTTATCACTGGAACTGGAAGATGTTTTGAATATTGAAAATAAATAAACTAAAACAACAGAAACGGCAAATAAAATGAATTATGAAGACTTTGTAAACAAAATTGTCCTTAAAAAAAGGCTACTTGAGACCAAAGCACCAGAATGAAGACTTTTGTCATCCAGTTTTTGGTAGAAAGAGACAGAAAAGAGTTAACAATAAATCATGCAAATGGAAATTATTAAGCTTATTTTAATTTATCATGCAATTAGTTGATTTATTGCTTATTGCTTGTCTGTTTCCCCAGTGCCTGAATTAAATGCAGACATTTCTTCTGATGGTTGATAGATGATGATTGCTAAAACATGGATACATTTCATTAAACTTTTACATCCGTTGCTGCATAATTGACTTATCGTGTGAACAAACTTATTTTCATTTAATTTCTTATTTAAAGGAAACATTCAATTTCAAAATTGTGTTTTTTCAACATCAGCAGCATACTGACAGATTTTCTCACATTTGTAACGGAAACATAGAGATTTACCAATTCTTTATTGTTTTGCAGCTCTCTCAAGTCTTGCAAGGAAGTCCTCTCCAACAATGGTATGTTTAAAATACTGGTTATCTGTTTAAGTACAGAATTATGGATTGATTTCAGTATAATGGATATAACTCATTATTTTTGTCACCAGATGAGATTATAGGGAAAGTTCTGAGTTCCCTCAAGGCCAAAGATGTTTCCTACACTGCAGCATACACAGGGCTGCAGCCATCACAAGTAAGATCTCACAGTTGTCAGAAACACAAATCGTTCAAGTTTGGATATGCTCTGGATTTTTCAGTAGAAGTTACTCAATGAATTTTGTTATAATTTTCAGGCGATTTTAAAGTCATCTTTGTTGAACCAGCAAGTGGGCCGGACCTTGTTACAAGCCCCTGCAGCTGATGTTAAAGCGCCTATAACATTCAGTAATACGACGGGATTTCCCTGCATTATGCTGTGGGCTCAGAATCTCTCCATCAGCCCTCCAGGCTCAACGGACTTCATCGACCTTGCTCAAGAAAACGCAACAGTCATCGGATCCATGTGTAACAGCACCAATTCAGAGTAAGACAGCGTTTTTCAGTTTAAAGATGATCGGTTTATTACTATAAATTATAAAGTTATTTAAATGTATTGCTTTTCCCCACCTGTAGGCTTGTGCTCACCTATGTGAACTACACTCTGAGGTAAGGCAACAAGCTGCACACTAAATACTTTAATCTCATTTGAGTAATGTTTTGAATGACAGTCATCGGTTGACTTTTCTAAAGTCTGAAATATGGAAAGTATTTAGAAAATAACGCTCTAAAAATAACTTTTTAAAGTTATTTTAATAAAAAGTTATTAAAATAATATGCAGCCTTGTATAGAAAAATAAGGCTGCATGTATGTAATATAGACTTTTAGATTAGTAGACATCATATATTGTAAAACTATATTTTGTTTTTTAACTGCGGCACCTTTTTCAGTTTGTTTTTATTTTTTCTTTCAAACTACAGCGCTTCACTCAGTACAGTCCAATATTTTATGTATCCAAACAAAAAAACAAAACAATAATGAGACATTTTAGGAGTTTTTACTATTGAAGTTTCTTAGTTATTATACAATTTAAGTCAGATATTTACATGCACTCAAAAAAGACACTTTTTTTTCTGTCTGTAGTTAAATCAGACTGAGCTTTTCTTCTTTTACCTTAGTTAAAATTACCAAATGTATTTCTGTTTGCTAAATGCCAGAAAACTTGGTAAGAATTTCTTTTGTAACTTTCTTCAGTGAAGATGCAAGAAAACGCTTCTTAATATTGGTCCATATCAGGTGAATAAATAAATACATCAATAAATATTTCCCCATAATTTCTGGGAGACTATAAACTTGTTTTACTTTTCAGATTTCTATACTAATATAGTCTTGATTCTTTTTTCATTTACTGGAATCAATTCATCATTTCTCAATACATTTTCAAGTAACTTTCTTTTCTTCTTCTGCAGGTTTGCAATGAGTCAGCGGTTCTATCCAGTTTCTGCTCGAAACTGGTTTACCCTGGACTCCGTTCAGGTTCAGGTGCATTCGTCTGGTCAGACCGCGTCTTTTGTTGGGAGTCATGGGATCTACGCGCCTGCGGAGTATTCTTTTCACTGCCAGTCGGTCAGCAGCGTCAGAGACACCCTGCTTGTCCCAGCCAACCAAAACGCCACTCAGTGGAAGCTGAATTTCGTTGACTTCCAGGTAATCGCTGTTTTCCACATAATGCTGCAAAATATTTAAAGAAACATAAACTTTTAGAATGTTTTTTATTCACTATGCAGTATGTTTTACGTTCATTTAGCATGAATGCTGCCTAACACCTTCTGATTTTAATTGGCTATGACTTCTGTGGTGGAAAATGTTATCAAAATTTTGATCTTAAGGAAATATGTACTATTTTTTATTACGTACATTAATATTTTACTTTATTCCCCCAGTTCTCTTTCACGGCTTTTTTTCCCTCAAACTTTTTAACATCTTGCTTGAGGAGCAAAGCAGTTTAATTTGACTGTCAACCAATCAGAAACTAAAATTTAAATAAATTATTTTTAATTATATTTTATATTTAAAAATGATTGAATAACAGAAAACAAAAATTATAAGATTAAAATATTTATGGGATTCAATTTTTATTTATTTTTTTTAACTTGCTGATGCCCCACAGCGCCCTCTAGCACCCCCACTTTGGAAAACACTGTTCTAACCTCGCATGAATGCCTCAAGTGCTTATTTTAATGATTAGTTTAAGGAAAGTTAGTTTAATTTAATCATTTTTTTGTGTTTTTTTTTTGTCTGGTGCAGATTCAGGGTTTCAGTTTGGCCAACGGAACAAACTTTTCTTACGCCAGTGACTGCGCCAGTTTCTTTACGGCTGGGATTTGGATGGGCCTCGTCACCTCACTGCTCATGCTGCTAATTTTTGTGTACGGCTTGCATATGATCATGCAGCTAAACACAATGGACCGGTTTGATGACCCCAAAGGTCCGACAATCTCAGTTCCTCAGTCCGATTGAAGCGTTCATCCAAAGATTCACTCCAGTGTCTTTCAGTCCCTGATGAAGCTACCATGTTGCTCCCACGTCTGGACCTCTATAGATACAGATGCTTTTCTTCAGTTTTCTTTAGCGACTCCCTGGCAGATGTTTTCAGAATAAAACACATTCCTTTTTTCCCCTCCATATTTTAATGTCCCAAAATGTATAGTTATAAAATTTGATTTAATGTCCATGTGCTAAAAAAATGGTGCCTGAAACAAGCAGTTTGCACTCTTACCTGAGAATGCCTTTATTGCCAAAATGCATGTGTTCGCTGAATGCTGGCTGGAACATTACAGACCTCAAATCTTGCTTTTCTATTCATATACTAGCATGACTAGTAAAAAAAAAAATGGTGGCTGTGTAAAATATCTATTTTTCACTTTTCAGGGTTCGGCCACATTAGTTTATCACTGTTATAAGATATTCTCTTAAACTGTAATTTATTTGTAAAATAATAATAACTCTGTTTACTTTGCCTTGCAAGCCTAATGGTTATCAGCTAATCCATTTTGTGCCTCAGTTGGATATTTGTCAAAACTTTTGATGTGCATATGCTACTACATGAAGAATATTGAATTAATGCATTCAGAACATTTAATTTCCCCTTGGAATCAAAGTATTTTGGAATTTGAATTAAAATTGTGAATAAAAATAAATGGATTAAACAGTTGTTGTGAAATGTTTGAATATAGATATGCATATATAATGTGTAATGTAATAATGTATAATATATAATGTGTATGTGTGTATTTATAATTGTTTTAGGGCTATTGTTAATGTGCATATAAGGACAATGGTAGATAGAAAAAGAGTAAAGTTTTGCTGCTTTTCTAGGAAAAAACATGAAATTTCTGAGCTCCAGAAGTCAAAACTTTGAGACTAAACTAAAATTTTGATTGTCATAAATATTGTCAAAAATTTGCAAGAAAAATTTTATTTTTAAATGCATCTTTGAAAT